TCTTTTTGTGTTTTGTTTTTGTAAGATTATTAATTATTAAACAAATTATTTCAGGAGTAGAAATATTTTCAATTGCTCTATTTCATCTATGTGTGAGTTTTGATGGTTTATGTTTTCAATAATTTTTCTGGTTCAAATTTGTTTCCAAATTGTTGTGATTGGACTGTTCACTCTATTCCTTTATAACTTTTCATGGCCAAGGAATCATTAACTACCCCTCTTTTATTTTTGACATTAGTAATTTGTGTTTTCTCTCTTTGTAGTTAGCCTGACTACAGATTTATCAATTTCATTGATATTTTCAAAGAATTACCTTTTTATTTTACTTGTACTGATTTTCTATTTTAAATTTTATTGATTTCTGCTCTAATATTTGACTTGATCTTAGCCAAAAAGGCCAAGAAGTGATTTTCTGCTCCAATTTTTAATGAGCTTTCCCTTTTTGTTTTAGAATTAAATTGTTCTTCTTTCTCTAGTTTCCTAGATGGGAGCTTAGATTATTGATTTCAGATTTGCTTTTCTAATATGTGCAGTTAATGTTATAATTTTCCACTAAACCCTGCTTTTACTGCCTTCTAGATGTGATGATCATATTTTCATTTTTGTTTCATTCAAAATATTTTTAAAATTTCTCTTCAGAGTTTCACATTGACAATTATGTTATTTTGAAGTGTATTCTTTGATTTCTACACATTCAGGGGATTTTCCAGATACCTTTTTATCACTGTTTTTAAGTTTAAATTTATTCTGTTCTAAGAACATACTTTTAGGTTTCTATTTTTTGTTAAGATAAGTTTTATAGTCAAGAATGTGGTCTATCTCTCTGAATAGTTCATGTCAAATTGAAATAATATGTTTTCTACTGTTGTGGGATGGTGTATTCCATACAAATTAGCTACAACCATTTAATGTGTGTGTGTGTGTGCATGTGTGTGTGTGTGTGACAAGGGAGCACTCAACTTCACGTTGTAGGAGAAGAAATTTATATTCTCATAAGCTTGAGCTTATAATAGTCCCTCTGTGAGGTTGCAAAAAGTTTATCATATTTTGAAACTTCTTTAAGGAAGTTGCTCTGAAGTCCATGAGTTTTAGGGCAACTTAACTACAAGGTGATAAATGAGGCAGTGGAGCCAAATTCATTAATTCACTTGGCCACTTCTATCAGGAAAGATAGAAAAAGCTTCAAAGCTGAATGTAGAGAGCCTCAGCTAAGATGGGCTTACATGGATAGATAGTATTGAAGTTATAAACAGATAGGGAAACAGATATCATGGCAGTGGTGTTTATTTCAACTATATTCTTAGTGATTTTCTGACTTCGATCTAACAATTACTAAGAGAGACATGTTGCAACCTCCAACTAAAGTATGGAATTGGTCTATTTTTGTTTAATTTCTTATTTTACTACATTCTTTTAATTTAAGACCCTATATGTTTTTCTCCCCCTTTTATATCAATCATAGTTCCTGTTTTTGTAAAATTTCAAAGATGGGTGTGGTGGTGTATGCCTATAAAGTCAGCATAGGACTGGGAGACTGAAATTGGAGGATTGTAAATTTGAGCCCAGACTGGATAACTTAATGACTTAGTGAGTCCCTATCTCAAATTAAATAATAATGACAATAATAATAATAAATATAAAAGGGATACAGGATCTTGCTCAGTGCCCAAAGATCCTATATTCAATCCTCAGAACTGAAAAATATTCAGAGTTTTCCCTAGAGTTGGAACATGTATTTTACAAGAATCTACATCTGCTTTCAGACATACTGTATGACTTCCCAGGACCATCTTGGTCCCAGATCTGTTCTAGCAGCTGGTCTACAGTGATAAGAGGTCATAGGACGGGAGGTCATGGGCTAGTGCTCGAATCTGAACTGATGAGTGTGTTTGGGGTTTTGAGTAAAGCAGCAATATAGGATCGTGGTACTTTGGTTTACAGCTACATCCTCAATATTTAGTTGGGCCCTGCATAATTTGTCAAAATTACCATTTAAGCATCGCTATCTGTTTATAACTTCAATAATATCTATCCATGTAAGCCCTTCTTAGCTGAGGCTCTCTACATTCAGCTTTGAAGCTTTTTCTATCTTTCCTGATAGAAGTGGCCAAGTGAATTAATGAATTTGGCTCCATTGTCTCATTTATCACCTTGTAGTTAAGTTGCCCAAAAACTTATGGACTTCAGAGCAACTTCCTTAAAGAAGTTTCAAAATATGATAAACTTTTTCCCTCATTGTGCAACCTTACAGAGGGACTATTGTAAGCTCAAGTTTATGAGAATATGAATTTCTTCTCCTACAATGTGAAGTTGAATGCTGCCTTCTCTCTCTCTCTCTCTCTCTCTCTCTCACACACACACACACACACACACACTTATGCTACAAATAAGTTTTGTGGAATGTGGTGGACCTGCTTGAGGCAGGGCACAATGGCCTGTGGCTGTCACAGATACTTGTAACATCTTGAGACATGGCACAGTCTGCGTAGAACCTTCACAGATGCTTCCTGGCTGGATCATGCTGTAAGAGGACCCCTCTGATTGTTGGAACTTTTTCACTGCATCCCATAGGGCAGAAGGCTAACCCCAAAGTTTTCATTCCATAATCCTTTCTCATGCAAAATGTCTTTCAGTAAGACTGTGTCAAAAGGAATAGTCCTTCTCAACTTAGTCTATGCTTACTCTCCCACAATTTGTCAAAATTGTCATTTATGGCCAGTAGTGGTGGTGCATGCCTATAATCCAAGGACTTGGGAGGCTGACGCAGGAGGATGGCCACAAGTTTGAGGCCAGCCTGGGCTACATAGTGAGTTCAAGGCCAACCTGAACTACAGAGGGGAAACTTATCTCAAAAAAAAAATCACCATTAAAGTGTCTCATATGGTTTATATCTAGATGTCCTCCCAAAGCCTTCTGTGCTTATAGGTGGGGCTTTTGGGAGGTGATTGGATCATGGATGTGTGATACTCCTCACTTCATTAGTCCACTGATGTGTTTGTAGCCAGGAGGTCAAACCTGACAGAAAGAGGTGGGACACTGTGGGTATGGCCTGGAAAGGTATATCTCCCTCCCTCCTCCCCTGATTTTTCACTGCTTCCTACCAGCCATGCCAAGAACTCTTTCTCCTCTCCCATGCCCCTCTGCCATGCCACCTTGCCTTGGAACCAGCCGACTGTGTATTGAAACCTCTGCCAACAGTGAGCCAAAATAAACCTTTCCTCTTAACTTGTGACTGTTGGGCACTTTTCTCAGCAATGAGAAAGTAACTAAAACTTGCTTAAAGTTTCAATAATATTTACTCTATGTAAGTACATCTCAGCTGAGATTCTCTACATTAAGTTTTGAAGCTTTCTCTATTTTTCCAGATCTAAGGGTGACAATTTATCCTATAAATCAAATTCCCTGGTGAACCCAATAAAACTCATTGATTTTTCAGATCATTTGTTGGCATAATATTGGAGAGATCCCCTCAAAGCTCCACATGGAAGAGTTGAAAAAATTAGTTGCATCTTTTGAATTTGACAAGAAAAAATAAAGACAATCTGATAGAATTCCAAAATGGACAACAGCAAAACTAATGAAGTATCATCTAAAACACAGATATTTTGTACAATTTGGAAAATACAACAAAAGAAAAGAAGGAGTCATCTTTACTTTCACCATAAAATACTACATATTTGCCAGTCAGTAGAATTTTAATGATGATTAAAACACTGACCAGTGTTTCAAGTAAAATATGGGCAACTATGGAAGGTTCATATAGAAATAGACAATCAACAGGTAGTTCCACAGCAGAGAAGAATGGAGGCATGGAAAAATTACCATTCATTTTTACTTGTATGTTTATCTAAAAATATATCATTTAATAATGAATAGGTAGTTGGATCCAGTAACAGAAGGAAGGAGAGAAGGAGGGAAGGAGGGAGAGAGGAGGAAATAAAGGACAAAAGGAAGAAACAAGCAACATAGATGTAAAGGGTGGCAGAGAAAAGTTGCTCATGTGTTGGAGTCTGGGAAACAGAACAGGGGAATAGTACAGGAAGAAAGAGATGAGAAACCCAAGGCATACTCCATGACCCATCCATACACCTGGAAGTGTGCTCCACCAATCACCTAAGAAATCTCACCATATCCCAAAGCCAAGCAAGTTGACATTCCGACTTAGCAGCCACAGTGAGTATTAAAAAAAAAAAGAAAAAGATTTCTTGGAGAGGATGACACTTAAGCTGGATTATGGAAAATAAAAACACAAGGTAAAAGGAAATAAGAAAATGAATTCCTAGAAAATTATAAAAGACGAGTAAGGAAATTCATTACTGGAAAAGTGAACAGTATCAAATGAACCTAAAATTCAGGGTAGAGCTGGACTGAAATTTGAAGACATAACAAAATTTTAAGAACTGACAGTATATGACAACATTTCACACATTTTAAATGATTATTGGTGAATAACTTTGTGATTATAATGAAAGCTATAGAACTCCCTAGAAATCACATATATGGAAAATTATAATTTTATGATATGTACTAATACATTGAAAGCATATCTAGATTATATTAGGTGAGGTGTCTGAATGCAGAGAACCAAGTAAAAATGGTAAAGGTTAAAGAGAAGGCAATAAAACAAGAGCTATAAAAAAAAGACTGAGAAGAAATGATCATTGCAAAAGAAAAGAAAACCAGAAAAAAAAATATCATTCAAAAGAAGAGAGTGTTGTACCTAGTCAAATATATCAGAGCTATCCAGAAAGAAAATGATTGAAAAATGTTAACTGGATCTGAGATTATTGAAGCTATGTGTGATCTTTTCCAATGCAATTTCACTGAACTATTGAATGCTTAAAGAAGATTGTTGTAGATTACGTAGTGAGTGGAAAATGATTATGTGGGGAGTTTGAGAGAGAATGGCTTACTTGAGAGTGGAATAGGATTTACAAGAAGGAAAAATATGAAGGAAAAGATTGTTATTTTACAAAAGAAAATGTTGATATTTTTCATAGGATGGATTGGGGACAAGAATGGCAATGAAGTCTCAAGGAAAGCAGGGAGGATGTTGTCAGACTACAGATGTACTAGGTTAGTATGAAAATGAAGAGTGATGATTCAAAGGCCAAGCTGACCTCATTAGAGGAAGAGGAATATGTCTCACTCATTCACCACTGTGTTCCTACCACAGTATCTGGTAAAATGTCATCTCTCATGAAAGTTTTCTTTAGCTTCCATGAAAAATTTACAGTAAGTGCTGTGCACAAGAAATGCCTCTTTACTTGCACAATTTTGTTATGTCCAATCAAATAATCATTTAAGGCATTAAGGAATCAGCACAAAGATATATAAATATTTACATGTAGAGTTGGATGTTAGCGAGTTTCATTTATAATATAAGATAAACATGTAGTGTCTAAAAAGTAGGAACTATTCAAGTAAATAATTCTATTGTAACTGAAAGCATAAAATGGATTTTTATGAATAGGGATAGGGATATAGCTCAGTGGCAGAGCACATACCTAGCATGTACAAGGCCCTGGGTTCAATTTCCAGCATTGCCAAAAACAATTTGGACTTTTTTTTAAAGGATAAGCTCTTCTCTGGCTTCCAAATGCTGAGAGTGGAAATGGCCATCCCCAATCCTGACTCCAAGGATTCCATATTCCCTAGGTCCCTCAGGTGGCCCAAAACCTGGCTAAATCTACGTGTGTTTATTTCCTACTTCTATGTATGAGATGGAGGGGGAGGATAGGCTAGCTGCCTTGCCAATTTGGCCAAATTGTGAATAAACTCATTTTTTCACTTTTGTGGGCTTTTCTTATGCTCTTGATTACAGACAGGTGAAAAAATGCAGGCAATCAAGGGCACAAATTCAGGTCCTTGACCAAACCTTGCTGATCACACCATATTCAAATTCTATAGCCATTGACATTTTGCTTTCTATTTCATTTATCCATTGTGTCTGGAACATAGTGCTCAATAAATATTAATTGAATAAATAATCACCTAAATAGATCAACTTAATATGGGCCTATTTATGCATGCTTATATCTAATTGAGAGAAGGATTCTTAATCCTTGTGAAATGCCACTTTAGACTATAAAATTTTTGACCTGTTACTGGATTCTTGGGTTAAAAAGACATTTCAAGAGTCAGGCATGGTGGAGCATCCCTATAATTTTCAACACTTGAGAGGCTGAGGTAGGAGGATTTAGAATTTGAAGCCAGCCTTGGCTACATAGCAAGACTTTGTCTCAAAAAGATTTATTTTTCAGGGAAACTCTTTCCTATTGTGTGTCTTCTGTCTATTTTGCTATAAAACAGACATGACTATCAGCTAGCAAACCCGAATACAGTAAACAACTCTGAGCCACTAACATATATGACGCCCTGCCCTCAAAAATCATTTCCCACTAATCTGATTTTGGTTGGAGGGTAGTTTGCACACAGATCAGTTTTCATGCCCCTTTATGCTCTGTCCTGTGTTACAGGAACTGGTGTCTGCTAACACTATCAGACACTTAGCGAACACTCACATATGATGAAAGTAGATGAAAAGCAAAATCTTTTTATTGGCAGTAACATACCTAACCCAGTGGATTTGTTTGGTTGATAAATCTCCCAGGTGTTGCCATACAAATGACCTAACTTGGTACAGGTAGCTGTGACCATTCCACATTTCTTTCCCTTACATCTTTACCTGGTAGCATCATAATTTTCTGATTTCTCAAACACTAGATGCAAAACTAGGACCTATTTTTCCCCTGCTTAAGTGTTACAGCTCCACATTTTTGAGAAGCTTTAAAACCACCTGTAAATAAATTTTTATTACTTGAAAGAGCCAAAACATTTTATTTTTTCCAAACCAAACACTGATAAAATTGCCCTGTAGCTGGAGGTAAGAGGCTGAAAATAAACAAAGAGGGTAACTGGCTTGATTCTCTCTCCTACCATTTTTAGGACTTGTTTATTTGGGGGGGGGGGGCTGGATATCTTTTGCTCTCTATATTCTAAATACTCTCTTTTTCTGAATGTGGTGTCGTTACAACTATGTTGAATGAGATGGCAAGTTTTAGCACAGACACCCTATTATTTGGAAGTTACAAGAACTTAAGCAAATCATCTCCAGAAGTCTGTTTTGAAAACCCATATTTAGAGGATCTCTGAATTGTCTGGAAAATCTCCTATCACTGATTTAGGGTTCCAGTCAAAGTCATTCATTCTGAGTTTATAATATGCTGCATTTACTGAGCAAAATTATAAGCCTTCGGATAAAACTATCCCTTCAAAATGATCCTTCCTGTGGTGTTTTAGTAAGAAAATAGTGGTGAGTTTCAAAGTAATAACAGAGCTTTGAAAATTAAAGAAATAAGTATTCAACATAAAAGGATATCAAGGCTCCTTCCCTCCTTTCAATTCTTCCTATATACTGCCATCAAAATATTGCTTTACGAGCCAGGGATTTAGCTCAGCAGTTCCGGCACCTGCCTCGCAAGTGCAAGGTCCCAAGTTCGATCCCCCGTACCAAAATATATATATATATTTGAGCCTGACATGTAAATTCTACCATGATTCCTGTCTTTTAACACATACCTAACCTCCAGAGAGCCTGAACCCTGGCAATCAGCCAGACTCTGACAAACCTTAGTTGCTAGCTCATGCTTTTCCCTTTCATATTTCCTTGTTCAAATTTTACCTACTCTTTAGATCTTAGGTAAACTTAACATCGTTCTTCCATAAACAGCTCTTGATCTTATTAGCTCCTTTCCTTAAATCCTATTGGGGCTTTTTCTTTATTGCTCTCATTGGTTTGAGGCAATTCAGAGTGTAGGAAAAGACTAACTAGTACCACAGACTAGAATCTAACATGATGACCAAGACTGACAATACAGATTTGGAACTTAGAACACAGAAACTATAAATTAAATTACTGTTAGGAGTGATTATACTTTGGTTACCAAGCATTTAACAGGCATATATTCAAATACACATTATCCTAGTCTATTTGGAAATTACAAAATGAGAGATACCAGTCTTAAAATATACAACAAAAACTGAATTCAGTCACTCAGTGAAAGGGTTTAAACATGATCTTGCTGCCTTCTGGAATAAATACCCATCAAAATGCTGTATGTACTATGTTCGGTGAAATCTTGTTCAATTTCTTTTAGTGTTTTTGAAGATAATTTAAGCACATTGAACAAGATTTTCTTTATTCTTCATGGTATTTTTTTTTTGTAAAACATGTTTTCTGGTTATTTACTCATTGATGGATGTAGTCCCTTAACTTCTGAGTGTGTATGTCATGCAAAGCTCAGCTGGCAGCATTGCAAGTGGAAAAGGATTGGTGAGTTGGAAAATCAATGGATATGTTCAACTGGCTGATCTAAAGAGGAATAGTGAGTTAAAAGATTTCCAAGGTCATATGGAGTCAGGGCATAAAGGACTTTTGATAACTAAGCAAAAAGACCCAATTTATTCAGTGGGCATAAGCAAAAACTGCAACTTTTTTTCAGGGAAATAAGAAGATCAGAAACATGGTTTAGAAAAAGTATGACTAATACAGGTAGAAGATTGGAAGATAAGAATCATTCAGAACTATTGAAGTTATCTATGGGATGAGATGATTAAAAATTCTGTTGAAAGAAAAAGGAAGAGAAAGAGGTGGAGGAAGACTTTGAAAGTTGATGTTCCAAAACTGCAATTTGGAAACAGGTACATTGAACAAACCAGGATTGGCTACAAATCTTGAAGGACCCAGTGCAAATATATGTGAAAAATGAACATGGAGGCCCCCTTTTCAAAAGGCAGGAAAAAGTACCACTAAAGATATAAAACATAGAACTAGTTCCTTTCAAATCTTCTTACTTGGGCTGAGGATATAGCTCAACTAGCATGAGTAAGAGTTGGAGCTCCAACATCACAAAAAGTAAATAAATAAATAAAAGCTTGTGACATAAAACTGTAGAAAAGTAATATAGATCCATGAATAAGAACACAAACTTCAAACCCTAAAAACATTTTATAATTATATGTGATACAATAAATAGTAATACTTTAAGAACATTAATTAAACGTAAGATTTTTCTGACTCACTTTTCTGCAGTCATTTTTATCATTACAATTTATTTTAATATAAAATATATTATTTTCAATCAAATAATTAAAAGTGATATCAGTTTCTTTTGGTAAATCCAAGAAGAATTGCTTTTCCTAGTGCAACTTTCACTAGAGCTGTTAAGAACATTTTATAGGTTGTGAAAACATTGGGATGGATTTCTGATAAAACCATACAAAATGTACACTGGGTACAGTAAACTTGTGAATTCTCCTCTAATAATTTTTCTGAAAAAATTCAACCCTTCATACAAGTTAATTTTCTGTAATCTGTTTATAAGTGTAAATTTGTAATTCATAAACCTATTTTAAATTTATTTTATAGTATAAATTTATATATTTTCTACAACTCATGCAATTTATTTCTATAAATCATGAAAACAGTTTCATAATTTAAAACACCTGTTTATGGGATTTGTCATATATTGTTTTCATTTATAGTACTTTCAATTTTAAGTAAGAATTACTTCCGCAATTGTCCTCTTTGTTCATTATTTTTCTTTGAGCTTTTATTGAAAATGTGTTCTTTGCCATTGAATGTGTTGCTTTTTAAATTTTACTTTTCTTCCTTGTCCTGTGCATATATGTTTTATAATAGCGCAGTGTTTTTCAATACCTGAGATAGTAAATTCTTTAAGTATTCTAATAACTCCAAGAAATGTTTTATTGGAATGTCCAGGTGTACACATTTGTTTTATGCTTGCTGAATGTTTACCTCCTGGTTTCTGACAGCTCCCATGCAGCACTCTGATGGAGCAGCAAGGTGATTAGTAGAAATCACCCCTTGAAGAATTAGTTTTGAAGGGTTAGGAGTGGAAAGAGGTAGGAGGTAATGAATTCACTCTTAATAATCAATGGAACAGGGAGGTAAGACATGAAACTAGCCAAATTTAAACAATGAGCCTTTAGATGGAGTCTTATTTGCCAAAAACCAGCAGCTGTGAAAGGAGTTCCCCTTTCTTTGGCCTTCTCTTCCCTGGACTCTTCACAACTCCAATCTCTCTTCCACATCTCTTTCATAGCCCAGAGATGTAGTTTGGATGTCAAATGTCCCCCAGTGTCTCATGTGTTACAGCCCTAAAATTGGGCGCAGGTCTATAATCCTGGCCCTCCAGGAGGCTGTTAGGAGGATCACAAGTTCAAGTCCAGCTTGGGCAATTTAGTGAGAGCCTATCTCAAAATTTAAAAAGAAATGAAGCTCAGTGCAAAGGCTTTGTATTCATTTCATGGTATTGTATTAGGAAGAAAAAAAAATGGCTTAGTTCCCAGAGTGGTGCTATTTGAAGGCAGTGGAACCATTAGGAGGTGGGGCTGAGTAGCAAGATTTCTAGCAGGATTATGAGAATGACAGCCTCTTTCTCTTCCTTTTGGTACCTGGCTATGAAACAAGTAGTTTTGTTCTGCCGTAAGCTTCTTCCATAATGTGGTGCCTCACCACAGGCCAGAGCCATAGGGCCAATTCATCATGGACTGGAGTTTCCAAAGCATGAGCCAAAATAAAAAGTAAATATCTTAGGTATTTTGTTGTAGTGATGAAAAGCTGACTGAAACACCCAAGGATACAATCATCCAATTTGAATGTAGTTAATGCAATTTCTAATGTATGTCTTCAGATTCTTTGATACTCTGGATGGCATCTAACTACAAGTAGAAGCAACATACAAACTATGCAGCTCCTACCTGATTCTCTCAGTATGCTCACTCTCCAGATTCTCCTAGGAAGTACTTCTCAGAACCCCAGGATCACACAGTAAGAAGCCCAAACTCATCTAAAAATTAATGTGTAAGTATTCCAGCCGTACCTCAGCTGGACACAGCCCTTCAGGCAGCTCAGTGCTAGCACTGTGCCTGTGCATGAATGAAGACACCTACCTTGGAGGTCACCCTCTGGGCTTCTAGCCTTTGGTTGTCATCCTTAGCCATCAAATCTTCCCAAGTGAAGTCTCAGATACCATAGACAGAGACAAGCAACCCCACTGTGCCCTTTTTAGTTTCTTAGCCCACAAAATCAAAACAATAAAATGGTTCATCTTTATCATTAAGTTTTAAATTGGTTTGAAACCCAACGATAGTACTGACACAGCCTCTAGAACACAAGTAGAGGCAAAATCAGCATGTTGTTTTTCTTCTTGGCTAACTGGGGTGGATTGGACTACTTTAAAGACACCAAAAAGCTAAGGGTGACCAAATAAAATAAGGGATACAGAAAGTACATTTTAAAAATCTTTAAGCTGACAAGAGTTATATGTCCAATATGAGAGTATTTATTTATAAACACACACTCATTTTTATATGAGAATCCAGAAAAGCTTATTTTTAATTCTTAAATTCTTTTTTTCTATTCCTCTTTCCTTTGCATCTCTTCTGTCAAGTGCAGATACTATGTTCAAGTAATGAACCTTCCAGGGAAAAACAACAGAGGAAACGTTCTTCGATGAACAAGGCAGACAGTCCTTCAGATTGCAAGCATCTATCTAATCTTAGCCAGGGAAGCTAGTATTCACACACACACACACACACGCACACACACACACACACTTCTGCTTTCCTCTTAATCCTTTCTTGATGAAGTCAAGTGAAGCCTCACCAAACAGATGACAATAAGGCCAGTTCATAAAGGACAAGGTGTCCTGAAAAATACTTGAGGTTCAGCAAATATTTTGAGGAAGTGAATGGACTAGGTGAAGGCCCAGAGGTCAGAAAAAGGACCAGTGGCCAGGAGAAGTCCCCTCCTGTTCTACAACCCAGCTGAGTGACTCTGAGCTCCCTGCTTGTGCTCCTGAAGGCAGTGCAACATGAGATGGGTGCAAGGGACTCAAAACTGGAATCCTAGGGTTCTTCAGCCAGATCGCCCAATGTGAGCATTTTCTGGGAAACATAAGAACCACTGATATTTATTTAGACCTGAAACTTTACTTTTGTAAACTTTACTATTGTAGAAATATGCCTTTAGTCAAAAGTTCCTTGATTCTTTTCTATTTCATTATTTAATTACATAGCTATTTTTAAATGTAATTTATTTCAATTGAGCCTTAGAAATGTCTATAATGAAGACTTCGGAAACTTCTGTAAATTTCACCAAAATTCCCCATCATTTCGTCTTTTCTGTATGTAATTTGAAAAATCAAAGCTATTTTTTAAACTTGAAAGACCATTTGACTTAATAAGTGTTAATAGGGCTTACAATTATAGCAATAAAAAGCTGCTGAACCATTCAAAGAAGAAATACTGATTAAAGATGTTTGATTTTTGAAAACTTGGCAATATTACTTCAAATAGCAGGACTCATATAGTCTACATGTTTCTAGTGTATCTGCTAATCTCCATGCACATAGCACAGGCTAGGGATGGAGAGGAACTGGGGGTTTGTGCTTACATGAAAAAACAGCTGTAATTTTTTAAAAAATTCAATGCAGAACATTTTGACTTTGTAAAAATATTTTTATCTAAGCTAAAAATGCAGGATCCCTTTTGCTCCAAACATCTGAACACTGATTCATTCAATATTCTCCTTGAAAACAGTTATTGATATGGGAAAAACAGTCCCTCTACCTTCTAGATGTCCATGGAGGATTATTCATTAGTCAAAAAAAATGCTCAAATTCCCCACATCTCAAACCTCTCTGCAGCTTTTCACAAGATGCTAATGGAAAATACTGCAATACCAGAGATAGAATACAAGTGTTTTGTCCTTGAATTTTGTTTTAAATTCATAAGAAAATTATCGATAAAATAAGCTTAACCATGCTTTTGTATTCTGTAAATGCATTCTCAAATGACAACTGGCAAAAATATTTTATCTAACCCTAATTATCTTTTTATTGAATGTAGAAAATATTACCATTATAAAACATTTCTCTTCCTCTCTCTCCTTACACCCCACCTGTTTTTAACATTTAAGAATCATTCTACACTTAAACTTTCAGATAACAAATATACTTATCTAGGGTACAATGTTTGCATATAATTAGTTTAACATCTTTGCAACTTTAAACATTTTATAATTTTCATTGAAAAAAATAACAATACTGTGTCAAGGCAGATAATATGACTGTGACAGTTAAACTGTATTGTCGATTTGTTTGGTTTGGGATACACTGGGGGATTGGTAAAACACACTTCTGGGTGTGTTTGGGTGGGTCGTGAAGGTATAGCCTTGAGTATATGGTTCCTGCCCCCCTCCTCTCTGATTCTGCTCCTCTGTTCTGCTTCTGGGCTCCTGGAAAGAAGCACCTCTGCCCCACCCTGCTCTTCCACTGTGATGTTTCTGTCTTGGAACCTGCCAAGCATGCACTGAAACCCCTGAAACCATGAGCTACATTAAGTCTCTCCTCCTTTAAGCTGTGGCTGTCAGGGGCTGGAATTAGCATTGGGAGATTGAACTAATACAATGCCCTAAGAAAGGATATTATTTTAAACTATTTTTCAGCCACTTTCTTTATTTCAGTGACTGATTTGTGTTAAAAAATCAAAGTGTAGACAATATAGGCCTGCTGAAGAGTAAAGAGATGTTACATTCATTTATTGACACATTTAAGAATATTTTTAGCATGTGACATACTAAGTTTTTGGCCCTTGGTATATAGAGATAAACTAGATAAGTAAAATTTTTGTCCTCAAAAAGCTCCCATTTTTTGGTCTACATTGAAGGAAAATAGTGGTTCAGAAATAAGGCCAGGTCATTCAAAAACTTGTCAAATTTACTGATAATCAACTTCTTGGAGACTATACATTAATTTTTTTTTTTGTACCAGGGAACGAACTCAGGACCTTGCACTTGCAAGGCAGGCAGTGGAACCACTGAGCTAAATCCCCCACCTATGTCAAATTTTTAAAGCACAATCAGAGAGAAATTTCCAGACTTCAATACTGGAGGTATGTCAGTGTTTCAATCAGCTTTACTATTATTTATTTATTTATTTTGCTATTGCTATTGTTTATTTCCTTCATTACCAGGCACTGGCAATGCTAGACATCATTTCTATATGCTAACTATGGTACTGTTTCAAACAGTCTAGCTATCTTAAATACCTGACCTGGCAAAGGCTGAGGAAACAAATAACCTTTGTAATCTATGAGACACAAGTGTAGTGCTGTAGGTACTGTCATGTACAGCCTCAAAAGATGCACGTATTCTTATGCTTTCAATTTCTTCCTTTGGAGGGAAAAAAGGCAAGAGTAAAGGCGATAGCCAATTACATCTCAATTACATCATGTAGGCAAATCAAATAACATTTGTGTTAGATTGCTTATTATTCCCCTGTCTGTATTCATATCCTTTTCTAAAGGGACTTTAAATCTCCTCTCATCAAAAAGCAGAATGTAATTATCTCACTGAATCTCAATCAGGAATCACATTGTAATTTACTTTTTCTAATAGAATACAAAGAAGGTAGTGTGTGCAAGGACTTGAGACTGTATGCATTCCTGCTCTCTAGGAACTTCATTCTGCCATATAATTGAGCCAAGACCATCCTGTTGGAGGAAGACCATGTGCAGAGAGGGTCCACTTTCCCTAGTCATCCTGCTTAGCCAGTTCTAGGCCACCTACCAACTTATTCTTGTACAAACAAGAGTAAGTCTGGATAATATCAGATCAGGCTGTTCCATGATAGAATAACTACTTGTCTAAAGTCAGTGCTCAAAATTTGAGCTAAAAAAAGCTATAAACAGCTATTATGTTTTGTAGTGTCATAGTACAGCAAAAAGTAATTGACATAACACTTTATCATAATTTATTAGCTTATTTGAGATAGTACTCCCATGGAAATATTGAACATCTAGAATTCTGCAAACGGAACTTGCCTTTTGTTCTTACTATAATATATCAAATATATCTTTTGGCTAATTTAAAAAATGAGGATATTAATAAATACTATTGAAGAGTTTTATATTAAAGCTGACTTAATCACTTAGATGTGTAATTTTCCCACCTTATAAAATTCCATTCAATAAAATAATAATAACATCCATGACTACATAGAACATTATCTAGAAAAAACTTAAATAATTCAGACACATATATTTGGACTGTTTTAGTCATATTAGCAAATACAGCTGAAATTCATTACTACTCAGCCATAAAAAAGGATATACTTTTGTAGGCAAATGGATGCATCTGAAACCATAATGCTAAGTGAAGTAAATCAAACACAGAAAGTTAAATATTACATTGTTTCTTTTATAAGAGAAACTCAAAATATAAATAATTTAAGAAGTGAAATATAAGATAGATGATAGGATTAAAAAATAAAATCCTCTAAAATTTCTAATGGAAATTTCTTAATGGTAACAATAGAGATGCAAGTTAAAATAACTAAAGTTCCTACAGTTTTATATTAAACAGATGTTAAGCAGAAACATAAGTATATTTTCTTGTTTTACCCTAAGTATTGCTTAGCTTAGTAATCATCAATTATATATGTGCAAGCATGGCAATCATTTTCATAATGTATGTCTTGCCTTTAGTTCTCAGCCATAATTGTACATAAAATATTCTTGACACATTCTCATTTTCTTAATCCCTTCCTATTACTTTGTGGACTCGTGTGTTATTAAAACTGCAGCAAATGTTCAATAATCTGTATCTCACAAATTCTTTCTTTAAGGGGGTATTTTTCCACCCAGTCTTTCTGACTCCAGGATCTATTATCTAGCTAAAGACAGGGCTAGCTTAGCCATTATCCATGATAAGCACAGTACCTATGGCCCACAAGACCTCTGAGGTGCCCACAAACATGTTTGAATTTTAATTTATTTGAAAATCAGAAGTAAAAAGAATAATCCTAATGAATATATAATCATCAATCCAGCCCAGATTATATTTAATCAACTTTATCATAAAATGTAATTTTTAATATTTTTGGATGGAGGAATAGTGCAAAAAGTACCTACAAGTGGGAGTAAGATGATGGCTCCTAAGAGATGATTTCCATGCTGCACTGTGCAGCCCAGTATCTCTTCCTAGCATCTCTGGATGGACACAGAGGCTTTATGTGTTCTGGAGTGGAGATACAGGTGGTAAATGCATCTAAGGATTCCAGAATTCAGAAGCCTGGACAGAGGACCCTCGCAATTTAGCACTCATACCTAAGGGAAAGAGATGCAAGCACAGACCAAAGCAGCAGGTGCTGGCATAATGGAATGGCTAAGTGAGACTATTCATTATTCATTCAGCTTTCCAGACATGACCAATCCTCTACCCCCTGCTGTGGCAGAGCTAAAGGGGCACCACAAGCTCCATAGCCCTTCCCATCTTCTCTTCTCTACCTTGATGAAAATGCTATGGTTCTCTTCCCTTGTCTGCCCTTTGATGAAGGTGGATTAGGAAGGCAAAAATATACTTTGGGAGAACAATGCTCTTTAAACTTTTTCTTTTGAATTTAAACTTTAAATTCTCCAAATTGACTCAATAGTCACTGGTAAGGAGAAAGTTTTAAGTCGGGAAATTTATACGTTTTACTCAGTTAATTGATGTTTTTCTGTTGCCTTCAGAGGTAATGGGAGCTCCAGAGAAAGATGAAATCAGTTAGTACTCAATAAAGATACATTTATAGGATGCCCTCAAGGGAGTAGCCATTTTATTTTATTTCTCCAGAACAGGAACTACCGAACTTCCGGAGCTTCCAAGGGCTGACATGCCACAATGGGCCCCACAATATTTATTGGAAAAGTAGTACATCTACTGTCCATATAACTATTTTCAGCCACCAAAGACTGAAGGTAGCAGAGACTAGAAAAAGTGGCTACTTACTTTCAAGTGTTATTTTTTCCCAAACTTCATCAAGAGAATAAAATCTCATGATATTCTATCAGGGCTCTACAGCTAGCAAATAACAAAGCTAATATTTGAATGCTGGTCGCTCTGACTTGTAAATCTGTATTCGTTACATCATACGCTATTTCACATCCACTACTAATATCATCATCTCCATACCCCATAGAGACAGCACATGCAACTCATTCCAAAGTAAACCCATCACCTTCCCCAACGAACCTGCTTGTTTTCCTTCCATATCAATCATCTTAGAGGTACATTATTGTTTGGAATAGAATCATCTGAGATTTCTCGATTTCATTCGCACTATGATTGTTCAGTAAACCCCGTCCTTTCAATCACCCAAGTGCCCCCCACTGCACAGATTCACTTCTGCTCACACATGCAGAACACAAAATACCTACACAGGTATTTCATAGTTACAAATAACCATGGTAGCAGCCATGGTTGAAAATTTTCACCATTACTCAAACAACACCGGACCAAAATCTACAGTGTGTTAAACCATGAGCAGTATGGAGACTAAACACTTCCCTGGAAATTAGTTTAATTTCTTGGAAAATGATAACGAGAGTCTGAGGAAGCAACAAGAATATCTATTTGTAGAAAAGACTCAAGGAACACAAATCCAAAGAGAAATACAATTTAAAAACAAGATAAAGTATATAAGGAAATACCTTGAACCTGCTGCTGGGTAAGCCCATCAAAGTTGTTTGCATTGCAAAGGAAAACTTCAAGAGAAAGGGCACATTCCTGTACTTCCTGACAATTATAGTCCTGTGTGCAAAGAGATGTTGACAGTCAAAACAACAAAGTCAGCTCTCAGAAGTTTCCATTCATTCCTGGAGAATCCAGAAATGAGTATTGTAATTATCTGCTGCTGTCTCTCTCATTGTCTCTCTTACTCCCTCCCTGTCTCCTGCTTTCCTGCTTGCCTTCTTTCTTTTTCTTTGATAGTTCTTTTGTTTTTAGAAAGTACTGTGTTGGAGATTAGTTAATAAAATCTATATAAACTAATGAGAACTAGCTGTACTTAAGATATATTCAATAAAATTATATATAACTTGTAGGATTTTGAAATAAGCTTTCATAATTCCTTATCAAAGAATGGGTTAAAATATTTTGTTAGTTTACATTTCTTTTTTCCTTACATATTAATTTTTGCTGAACATTTTGTATGTGATTCTTGACCCATATCTTTGTTTATTCATTCCAGGACCCATCCTCTAGAATGCTCATGAACTTGCTTATAGTTCACTTTGAATTAGAGGGTTGCTTCCTCTCATTTCACCCAGAGTTCGCCACATGTTTTAATCACCACATGACTGTATTTTGCTTGAAACCTTATGTTTAATGACCAACCTGAGAGTTTGGGTTGCTTCCCTTTTATGTGTACAAACAAAGTTTATATCCTAAAGGAATGGAGAAAAGGAGCTATAAATTCTTTTTTTGCTGAGAAGAAAAATTCCAAGTATGTCACCATCATGTGTTATTGAATAGTAACAGAATCTGACTTCACTTGTGACTAGTTAAAAAAGTTAAACATTTTACAGACCCAGTAGGAGGTCTGGGGACCATGGTTTTTGTTGTATAGATGACAACAGTAACCCAAATTGCACACAGAACTGATCTGATGAGGAAACTTACTTTTGCACTGACCCTTGAGGATTCCAGTCTGCACTGTGGGTGGTGCTGCCCTGAGCACTAGGAGGGTGACAAGATCACAACTAGCTGCTTCTTTTGACCTAGCAGGCCCCAAATCCACCTTGGAGGCAGGAACGTGTTAATGTTGAAGTTCCAATGTAAAAACAGATGTAAAAACAGAGGTAAAATTGAATGTATGGCATTTTAAGTTTCTGTAATATGAGGTTGATTGGGCTCTATCCAAGATTCATAAGATCTCCTATCATTTCGAATATAGGCAGATACTTTAGATACTATGCAGTCCAGAAAAATACAAATGTCTCCTTTCTGAACAGAACCCCAATGACACAAGAAATAGCACTGAGAATCAACAAATTGTATCATATCAAGTTAAAAAGCTTCTGCACAGCAAAGGAAACAACCAACAGAATGAAGAGATAGTCTACAGAATGGGGAAAAAGTTTGCAATCTATTCCACTGCCAAAGGACTAAAATCAAGAACACATAAAGAACTAAAAAAGAATAAAATTAAACCCTCCCTAAAATAAAAGATCCAATCACAAAATGAGCAACCAAAATGAATAAACCCTTCTCAGAAGTACACATGGCCAATAAATACATGAAAAAATGCTCATCATCACTGGCCATCAGAGAAATGTAGATTAAAACAATATTGAGATATCATCTTACCCCTAAAAGAATGGTTATCATCAAAAAATCTAATAATAACAATTTCTGGTGAGGATGTGGAGGGAAAGGAACTCTATTGCATTGTTGGTGAGAATGTAAACTTGTACAACAACTGGAAATCAGTGTAGGGATTCCTCAAAAAAATAAAAGTAGAAATGGCATTTCAATCAGCTGTCCCCCTTTGAAGTATGTTCCTGAAAGAGTTAAAATCATCATATTACAGGGATACATACCCACGTTTATAGCAGCACAGTTTATAATAGCAAAATCTTGGAACCATCATATATGTCCATCAACAGATGAATGCATAAAGAAAATGGTTTTTATACACAATAGAGTACTACACCACCATAAAGAAAGATAAATGTGAGGCATTTGTAGGTAAATGGATGCAACTTAGAACATAATTTTAAGTGACATAAGTCAGACACACAAGCTCAAATATTACATGGTTTCTCTTATATGAGAAAAATACATATAGTATATATAATATGTTGTATATATAAAAAGAGCATAATAGAAGAAAAATAGATAAAGTAGGGAGAAGATCAAATATTTCCCCAAATTACATATTCCACTGTTTTAAAAATATTGCAATATATATGCTAATTTGTTTAAATTATACTAATAGTCTATAGTACTACATTGAAAAGAAAGTTTGTTGGGCCAGGGATTTAGCTCAGTGGTTCCGGCACCTGCCTCACAAGCACAAGGACCTGAGTTCGATCCCTGGTACCAAAAAAAAAAAAAAAAGAAAAGAAAGTTTGTCTTGTTATCTGTTTCTTTTTTGTAAGAATCTTTTTGGTTTATGTCTTGTACTGAATAACTAGCTTGAAGATAATGATACACACTGTAGTAATTATTGTCATTCTCTTATTATTTGGCTATGAAAATTTACTTTATTTTTCATAAAATAAGATGAAAAACAATATATTGTAACATCTGAGTTCAAATCGTTTACATATTGGGCAATATCATAAAGGCTGAGACACTGTCAGACTAAAAAGTCACCAATGTGTCCTAAATATGTATTCTTATTTATCTATGCCTTTGGCCCCTTTCCCACAAGATACACACATGTGCGCACATGCGGGGACATGGATGCACAAACACAACACTACACACCACGAGGAAAATAAAAACACAAAGACACTGTTCCCAAACTGTAATTTGTCTAAGTGCTAAAATATTCCATGAAAAATACAAAGTGAATAGATATTAATCATTTTGGATAGTTTTAGAATGACTTTGTTTTTGTGGTTGCACATGATGGTTTGAATGTCGCTTCATGTTAATTTTTTCAAATAAATATTGGACTGAATGCATGGAATATATTCCTGTAATCACATCCCTGGTAAAGTCTTCATTATTATTGTTGGAATAGTGACATCCTAAATTTCTAACCTGTAAAAACTTAAAGGACATATTTCTCATTCTAATATAAAAAGCTTAAAATATTAAATATAATTTGTTAAATGTATATAGTTTCCCTATACATAAACTACTAATAGTTTTAATTTTTGTATCCACGCAAACTTGAATGGGTAGAATATTGAAGAGTGAGCCCACAGAGAAGTAAATTGTTTTCATTTTTTGTTTTTTTTAAGAAACTCAAGCTTAAATATTTGTTTAGATATCCATGTATTATATAACATTAATATTGCTGACATTCTGTTTTGTTTTCATCAAGGAAAAAAATTTTATTCATCGTTTCAATTATTTCAAGCTAGCCAAACTGAAAATCAACCTGACACATCACCAGTCCTGAGTCGCCACCGTTGATAGCACACCAGCGCCCTCTATTGCACACATAGGATAATGAATGTGTTCTACAATGCCACGTTTTGTCTTTAAATTCTGCTGTTTATCGTGAAGAATATGGTATTCTTTTGGAGATTACTTTATAGAATAAGCTGAAATCACACGGTATTTGTGGAGTAAATAAAATGTGTGTATAAGTGAAAATAGATGTAAAAATTATGGCCATTTTATATCTACATACTATTTGATCTAATCACCTGTAAGGTAATAGGATGAGGAAATTTTGGAAAGGAGAAGCGCTTTCAAATCGTGTCTGATCTTGCTAAACAGACACGCTGAAAGTAAGAAATTATCCACTCTATCAACACGTTTTGAGCACCCCTATCTGTAAGACAAGCTGACCGTGTGGATACAAAGATAGCTCAGGGATAGGTTTGTGCTAGAGCTCTGAACTATGGTTATGAGGAAATGTTTATGAAGTATTTCTAGTACTGAGTAAGCAAAATAAAGACGCAGCTTAATTTTTAAATATCCAGTGCTGTAATTCCAGGTATTGTGTGAAATTTAATATTTTTTGTAAGTAAGAGAAGGGAACCATGATTCAAACCAAAGTCTCTAGAGCGCAGTGTTTACAACCATATGTATGTTTTCTTTGGTATCTTAAATGTTTTTGGGCCCCCTTACCTATCTATAAATTATGTGTCACTTGATAATAAAACTACTACTCTTAGTGCTTGTGATATGCCTTAGGTATCCCTAAATTTCGAAGGGCTTAGAATAGGTTATATAATTTAATCTCCACAACAACTTTTTCAGGCACTGATTTTTTCCCTTATTTTACTGATGAAGAGAAAGAGGTCCAAGGAACTTAAACACTCAAACATCACAGACACTGGTATAAGTGAGAGTCAGGGTTCCATCTCAGGATATCTAATACTAGAATTCTTCCTCAGCGCAGGCTTGCTCGCTCCCTCTCACACACACACACACACACACACACACACACACATCACAGGACACTCTCATGGAAAATGTATTTCATTACAGTGCTGGGAGGATATAAAATACTTCTGAGTAGCTTTTAGACTTTTAGAATACCAGATAGACTCGATACATAGAAAGAGGATTATCTATGGATAAAGTCTTGTTTTAATGACCCAAACTGATTAGTTTGTAACTTACAGCCAGTGAAATGATTCTCTGATAATGTAATTTTCACTACAGCAACACATATGTTGTTGCTTATGATAGTTCCAATGTCTCTTCTCTCAGTATTAACCATGAAGCCCCACATTTTATAGATGTTTTCTTACCCCTAGGCATATACATCTCTAACATAAACTAAACAGTTGATATTCTTTTAAAAAGGGAAGATCATTTGAATAATTGTTGTAATAAGTCAGAAACTAATTCAGCATCAGTACAGAGGGACATACTCTGGCTTATCAATATTCTTACAAACAAATTCTGTATTATTCACGTGCTCATTCATTTAGGTCTTATATTCCTTTAACTTATTAATTCTTCTTCAGTTCTCCCTGCAGTTTCATACACATGTTGGATTTTATTTTAGGAATCAGTAACATATAATAATACTAATTTTGAAACACAAACATTAATGACACAGAGTCAAAATAATAATTATCAGAAAATCATCAAAGAGATGCTGAATTTAATGACAAATATGTCAGTTTTAATAAAACCAAGTTGCTTCCCAAGCAATTGTCTCTCCTACTTCATTAAAAGCCAAAAGCTTGGGACCTAAGGCCAATTAAAAATTCATGTATGCATATATTTGTAACATGGTTTATATAAGGAATCTCAATAACAATTTGATTGTTACGTCAGTATTACACTATTTTAATTAGGCAGCTAAAAAGGTACAAATAGGAGGAAAATATAATAATATCAAAGCATATTTGTCATTATCTTCAAAGATTAAGATTAATCAAGTAGCAATAATTTTTATAATGTCATTTGTCTGAAATCATTAATAGATATTCTAAACATGAATTGTCATAGTGATGGAAAAAGAAATATTTCTGGACTTAAATATAAATGCAATTATAATTTTTATCCTTAGTTTCTTTTTTTTTGTTCTTTTTGGTACCAGGGATAGAACTCGGGACCTTGCACTTGCAAGGCAGGTGCCAGAACCACTGAGCTAAATCCCTGGGGCTTTATTCTTAGTTTCAATTCTGAAAAAGGGAAAAATGTATGTAAGCTATGATGATGTATTATCTTACTCATGTTTTAAATCACACCTACATGTTCAATCTAAATCAGCCTAATCAAAATCGTTTGTTACTATTCACTGTGCAGATCAAGAGTTGTTAGTGCTGCACTAATCAATAAATTTTATGCAAAGATTTTGAAACTGGAAGTATGCTAAGCCTCATCCACCTTTAGAGAAAACTTCTGGAGGCTCTATGGTGTCACAGCATTCCACAGAAATGTCACAGCTGAATTAATTAGTCAGTTACATGGTTTGACTTCAGCATTCAAAATAAAGGACTGGTATGATTCTATTTATGTCATACTTTAAAAAAAGAAAATTAGGCAGCCTTTTCTGACATTATTTGGGAAAAATAATATGTTGCAGAAAATGCAGTTGACTGATTAATACCGAGTTAGGGAAGAAATTGAGTCTGGGATATAGAGAGAGGAATGAGGAAGCATTAGGGAGAAGCATGTAAAGGACACTGACACTGACACTGTTTTCTCAATTGTTACTTTTAGTTTGGGTCATAGGAGCTTTTATTTCATCATAATTCTTTAAATGGTACTCGATATCTTACCGAGTGTAATGTTGAAGAAGTCTTGCTCCTGCTTCCATACCCATCTTAATCATTATGTCCCTCTCATTCTCACCAAGGTCAGTGGATCTGTCCTCTGAGCTCCTCCAGCCTTTGTCAGGACCTGCTGCAGCTCCCATCTTATCTCATGATTATTTTCTATTCCCCTCAAATTACTAGACTCTGAGCTCTTTGACGGAGGAGATCTTTCTCATTTTGTTTTCTCCAGTGCCCAGCACACTGTGCCTGATGCAGAGTAGATGCTCAAGGAATCAGTGTAAGGCAGGATAAGCTCAAGTTACCAAAAATCTGAGATATATACCAGTAACTTTAATGCAAGGGATACACAGTGAGAATAAAGTGTTAAAATAAAATATTACAGAAACTCCAAAGAAAGAGAAATAAATGTTACTCCATTAGCACACAATGATATACCAAGATTTTTCCTGTGTTGAGACACTTTCATAAAGGACCAAGGACCAAGGGACCAAGAAGAGTATGAGAGGCAATTCTTGCCTTGCTTGATAGTATTCAATGAAGACATGAAATTGAAAGGCTTATGGAAATCTAGAGATGGGGAAATAAACATATAAAGCTAAGTTAGCATACTGAAGATAACGTTCTTCAGGAGGTGAGACTTGCTTTTGATATCTAAAAAGACAGTGTTTGCACTGAGTGGGAGGAAAACAGATGGTTTTCTAGAAGTGTGAAGTAAGGGGAGGAGACAGGAGGCTGCTGTATTAGGGAAAGAACGAAAGAACGGCTGGAACAGAGCTCAGCTTGCATGTTAGGAAGTAGTGGGAAATAATAAAAGATCAGTGGGTTGAGCCAGGTTGTAATGAAGCTTTTAAAGTTCTAACTAACAACTAAAATTTGAACATTTTTATGGCAACTGAAGCAAATGATTGATTGACGAAGGGGGAAAAAACATTGTGTTGATTAAATGTTGACCATTATAATTTTCAGTGCAACAGCTGCTACTGAAATTGCAGTAATTCAAAATGAAAAATAGACACTGTTGTTCTAAAATAGCTTGGACTATTTGGAACCCTGCAGCATGAGATTATACTATGTAGTTTTGCTGGGAACATGATGGGGTGTGTGTTCCTTTTCTTCATTTTATCAAAATGATTTGGTCTATGGGTGGAGAATTCCAACTGAGCAACAATTTCACAGCTAGAGTTGGAGTGTGGGTTGTCTAAAGTTGTAGAAGCACTTTCCAAAGACATGAAAACTTGTCTCAACTACGTAATCACAATTTCTAAGTAGAAAGATATTTGAAACACACACAATGCTTAAGTTATTTATCTATTAAATATCTATTGTCAACTCATTATTTCTATTGTATTACTTGATTAAAATTATCTTCCTGAAAAGTTAAGCCCTGAGGTTTCAGTCTTTTTTCCCCCTCAAGATAAATATTTATTGAACTATATTATGCAACCTACAAGGTAATAAGAATGTATTAATACAATTTACAGTTAAATTCACGGCTACTTGTTTACTATTCTGGATGAATAATGTATTTCAAGATAATCACTTTAGCTTCTTCTAAACCAGTAATGCTGATAATGTCAGATAAATCAAGTTATAATTCAACACTGATATTCTATACATCCTTGTTTATTACTAGCAGATCATACCCTTGTATCTGATTCATTTTAGATGTTTTGTCATATCAAGAAATTTGAGATTTGAAAATGGAGAAACTGGAAAAGTTCCAAGCTATGTTCCAGAAAGATAATGTTGGCAGCAGTAACACAAAAAATTAGAAGGCAAGGGAAGTTGAAGGCACAGGGAGGTATAATAAGATAAATTGTTAGGAGGAGCAGATTATGTGATGAGAAAAAGAGGAACAAGGAAGCATGTTAGGTGCTCAGTGGGACTTACTACGGGCCCAGTAGAATTCATAGCTACATATAAAATGACCTATCAGTGTCACAGTCTCAGGCAAGCACAAGAGAAAAATGCAGTTCTGGCTACTATAAGGAGAGGATGTCAGGGGCTTTGCACAGGAGCAGGTTACTACAGCAGCGACATCCTACCAAGCGCAAGTACAGTCCATTGTCTTCGCCAGTGACCAACAGACATTTTCAGAGGCCAAAAACATGTTAGCATTCTAGACCACCAAGCTTTTTCTTTATGGAAATGTTATCATCAAATGCATCTTATAGCCATATTTATTACTTGAATAAAAGCAGTACTTTGCCTATTCAAATGTGTATGGTCCTGATAAAACACATTTTGTTTAAATGAACATTCATTAATCCTTCTACTCTAAGTGAGCATAGTTGTATAAAACCTCTATGGTTCGTATTCTCATGTACAGGTAGAATAATACCATATTGTATTGTTTCATAAACTTGCATGTTGCTTAGAACATGCATGGAACTTAGTAATGTGATAGGCTTTTTTTATCATCATCATCACCATTATCATCATCATCACATAAGTAAGTAGTATATGTAATGGTTCAGAGCACAAACCCTGGAAACAGAATCCCTTACTACTAGTGATTTTTAATATGGTACTCTTAGCTATATGAAGCTGGGCAAGTTATTTAATCTCTTTGTGTTTCAATTTCCTCATCTACAAAATGGGAAAGAATAATTTTACCTAGTTCAAAGAGTTCTTCTGTGAATAAATTAAATGAGTTAGCATTTGTAAAGTGCTTACATCAACACCAGATACATAGTAAATATTAAATATGTAATTGTTAATAAACAAATGGAAATGTTGTGTTAGCTTCCTCTTGCAGGGCTATAACTTCCATGGTAACTCCCTTTACTTAGTAGTTTTTTTAAATCTTAATTTATTTAATGCTTTTTTATAGCTTCTGAATTTAAAAAAGTCAAAAAATCTTTAACTACAACTTCTTGCATTTTTACTTTGTTCTAGGCACCCTCGAAGTATTATCTCATTGAATCTTCACAAAAACTACATGAGGTCAGTGATAACAGCTGAGGAAGTAGATTCAGAAAACTGACATAATCCAAAGGTCCACCACTAGCATTGTTAAAGCCAAAATTTAATCCCTATATTGATACTAACATTAATAATCTTTAATCTATTATTACACATTTTTCTCAAATATGTTTAAAGTAAATAATAGTAATTATTAGAATTGATAATATTTTATTGTCATCAAACTGTATATTTTTAGTAGCTAACATTTTTTTCTACATATCGTAATGAGTACCAGCTCACCAAGCTGCTGCATTACTCCAGAGTACAGTATCATGCCCAAGAGACAAGCTTATTAGGTAATTCATGGTTGATTGACTCCTAAGATAGATTCAATGGAGAGTATATCTTAACCTATGACTTAAAGGGCTCATTGTAATACTTAAATACACTTACGTTTTACTACAACCATGGCATTTTGGTTTTTTCAGACCTCAGTGCACTAATTTTTAAATATCATAAAAATTAATTGTAGCGTTTTACATCAACAGTTTTATTATGTTCTTAGATGTCCTTTATGCCCGCTAGGCAGAGGAAGTACCTATTAAAATATTTTTAAAGAACTAGTGTATGATTCAAAGTTTTAAGTTCATCATATCCAAAAAGAAAAGAGACTGCAACATGGGTTTAAGTCAAGCATTTGAGATACACAAAACCTATCGTTGCTCTTTTCAGTGTCACCAAATTTAGACTTGATTCAAATGACTTCACTTTCCAGTTAATTTTCAGTTCAGCATTTTGTCAAATGTTATTTATAACTATCGTCCCCAAATACACAGAATCAGTGAACACCACATCAAAGTTGAAAGAAAAACAAAGAAACTTTCTCAGAGAGCAAAGAAGGAAAACAACTAGGGCTATTTAGTCAGTCCTCCAGAATCAAGGAGAAAACAGATACAATTTCAGATGTCAATGAAAAGGTGAAATGAGTTTCTTTCCTGTCACTGCCTTGTACGTGTTACAATCCAATGATTACAATGACATCAGGCAGAATACATAGGATGCCATCCTATGTCAACTCTTTACAAGTTCAGGTAACTCATGTGTCCATTGAGTGATTTTTAGATCACCCAGTTAAGATGTGTCTGCCTGCAAATTCATTTGTGGGTATTTTGTTTTTTCATTCACATCACTTAAATCTATCCTTAATATGGAAGTAATCTGTCCATGAATTGTCTTCAGCAAGACAGAACAACAAAAAAGGTAATTAGCCTTTTAAACTCATCTAAACAAAGGTATTATTCAGTGTACACATTTGTATTTCACCATTCTGAAAAACCAAAGCATCTCTCTGTTCCCATAAAATAACCCATACTTCAGTTAAATATTTGTCTGAGCTAATGAATACAGCCTTTCATAAAATGACAGAAAAACATATTCCTAGCAAAATCATTGTAAGATAGCTTTCTATGCTATGAGATATAATCAAGTTTGTGCTACTAAAACTTTTCCTAAAATAACTGCTTTAAGACATGGCTTTAAAATACTTGGAGCAAGTCTAGTGTTACCCATGCCTTTAAAAATGATTAAATAATAAGTCATGTTACCCATACCTTAAATAAAATAAAAATATTTGTAAATAGAGATGGAGAGGAAAGGCGAAAATGTACTTGAAAAATTCAGCATAAAGAACAGAAGTTATATATCTTCAACCATGACAACATATTTTTCTTAAAGGAAAATATACTGGAGGGGGATTTATTGTAAGATGAAATATTTGACACAATGAAATATTGAATTTGCAAGAGGCTTTCCGTCTTCCCTCCATATTCACAATCTATGCTTCATCATCCTTTCTGTGCCTTGAGAAAATGAATTCATAAATTGCATAAGCCCCTTTGACTTCTTGGATTGGGGCCACTGAAAGGATTAGTGGGAAATCTACATGTTGGAGGGAGTGGATCACAGTATTTATTTCCAGGCTAAACTTTACTAGGCTGCAAGTTGGCAATGGCTTTGCTACCTACCCCCAAACCAGGTCACCTGTGTATCATCCCTCTCCTATGACTACTACATCCTATGACTACTACCACATCTGAATCCACAGTGACATTTCTGTCTGGTTTCTAATGCCCATTTCCCTTCCAATCTTGACTGGTAGGAGCTTCCTGCAGTTACTAGTCCTGAGGGTAGCATCTCTTGCTGGTTTCCTTAGCTCAGTTAATATAACTTTGTAAAGTGTTCTTTTATTTAACTATCTATCTTTAATCATCTTATTTGAGTGTGCTATCTTCCTTGCTGACAAATATATGGAGCAAAGGAATCAATTCCCAGTATTAACTTTGTAATCTCGTCCTTGAATATTAAAGAAATTAAAATGTCTTTAGAGGAATTTAAATGTTTTTTCAGATTCCTAAATAATAGACAACTACAATAGCTTAGGTATAACTAGTAAATCAATGGTAATTTATTGTTTAGTTTAAAGTGTAAGGTTTAACGTTTTCCTTATAGGAAGAGAAAAGTGTTCCCACATATTACAACAAGAGAACCAAACTTAGGCAATTTTATAGAATTTCAAGCAGGAAATTATGAGACTTTTTTGATGTGTTTTTTGATCAGGTATAATTCCCTATGCTTAAATAATTCAAATAAACTGACCACATTTTTAAGCTTTA